CAATGCACAAATCAATAATAGGTTTGTTCCGATGCGTTAGTTCATTAGCTACAACATAAATCCTGTTAGAGCGCATTGTATGAATATTTACGCTCATTGTTCTCAAAACAAAAGAAGCGCTCCTAGCGAATCCCCTTTTTCTACGTTTATCCGTAGGACGAAGGAAATCTAATAGCGTTTCAATGCGTTAGGACGGAATTGAAACTCGTAGATCGAATTTAGAATCAAGAAGCAGTATTAGATTTTAAACAATATCTCAACAATTTGTGACTCTTTATCAAATCCAACGGTACGTATGGAAAGGTGAATAAATTTAGAAGTCATCTTTGACAGAAATATTCAATTTTTCGTTCAAACTCGTTCAGAAAAGAGAGGTAAAGCGCGGGTTGTGCTTAGTAGGACGGAAATTAGATCAAAAACCCTACTCAAAGTTCAAACTCACCACGGTTTGGTTAGAATTGTAGCTGCTGAGTTTTGTTAGCTTGATATTCGTAGCTACGATTAGGGACGTTGCGATACTTAAAAGTATCGATACTTGATTCGATACTAGTATCGAATAACTGATACTGGTATTTGCGATACTATCGAAACAAAGTATCGATACTTTTAAGTATCGAATCATTTGATAAAAAAGCAATGTGATTGAATTTAAATTGAAAGTCCATGTTTGAGATCAGTTAACGAACAGTTTGTATCATTTTATTAAAAACAAAAGCATTTAAACCAACTTATTGAACCATTCATCGACGCTTGCTAGAAATATTAGTTTCTGTAAATATTTTGCTGACAATCGGTTTCTGGTCTCAGTAATTATAGATCCAGCCTTTTAAAAGAGTCGCTCGCATGGAACAGAAGTTGCCATGCTGACCATGCATCCTAGCCTGCTGATACAGCGCTGGAAAAACTGACTTCATGTCCTCCCATTGTTCCAACGGGTTCACATTTAGTGAGCAAACCGGTCTCGCCAGGTACAATGCCAACTCATCGCCAGGATCAGTATGTACTTGTTTGTTTGGTTTGATGTAAGCGAGTGTCCTGTGGTGTCCCCAGAAGTCGTACTTATCAGTTTGTTCCTCGATCACGTTAAAATCACCAACATCTGCTTCATCGTGGATACCATCTGGTAAAGCTTCCCGGATTTTGTCGATCGCATTTGCGCAAGCTGATGGATCCTGGAAGTGGAGGGTCTTGAACCTGGGATCTAAGATTGTGGCCATTGCAACTGGAAGAGATTGCTCAATTTGCCCAAACACGCTTATCACAACTTACGCATATACCGAAATCAAGTTACTTGTTTTTCCATCCGATTCGATACCGATACCGCGATACCACGATAAAAGTATCGATATTGGAGAAGTATCGATTGTAAAGTATCGATACTTAATTACTTGGTATCGAAATAAAAGTATCGATACTTTACTGATATCAGTAGTATCACAACGTCCCTAGCTACGATATCACAGCTTGAAATATCATCCACAGTTGCTTGCTTGATGATTTTTGTCTACGAAATTGAAGCGTGATCTTGGGCATTGGCGAGATTTGATTTTTTTTTATATTTTCCCAACACTGATGGTTATCCACCATTATTCCGACAACGACATAGGATCACCACTATTACTGGAACATAGGAATCATGCACTTTTTTTTTCCTTGATTTGTTTTCCATCGATCTTGTTTTCCGTGCCACCGACGCCAGGGAGGCATCTCCCACACCCGGACCCTACCTATCGACCCATCAACTCATGAACCGGGGACCAACGGCTTTACTTCTCTTCCGAAGGAAGGCGTGATCAGAGATGACTGGGATTGAACCCATATACCCTTTTTTCCCTGAATGTGGATTTGAGTAATTTTATCGTAATTTGAATAAGTAGGAAGGGTCAGATCTCACCATTGGTGGATTATTAACTATTTTTTCATGAAGTAGAACTAGCTGCAGAAATTTCACTCAATTTTAGGCATGGCTTAAATTTGTCTAAAATCAGTTCACGGCAAAAAAAGTAGCAAGCTTGAACGGTGTCTTTGTTAGAATAACTTTAAAGCATCAAACCGAAACCTTCACTATTCGAAAAAGGGGGCTTTTCACGTCATTTTGAAACTATTACTTAAATTTTTCACCATTTTGTTCCAAATTCCTCGATGGAAAATTTAAGTCAAAATAACCAAATTCCCTCTTTCAAATGGAGAAGGTATCGTGAATGATATTTTTAAGTTAGTTAAGTTTTCTTTATTAGGGAGGCTAGTTCGCCTCCGATTTTTTAAGTTATTCAACAAAGACACTGTGATAAATATTGGTTAATTTTGGAATCTGATAGCATTGGTTTTTCATTGTATGCCAAAGAGTCGTACCTGTTGGGAACATACTTATATTTTTTCATACTTCTTGGATTTTAAAATGATGATATGAATTGTTCACAAATTATTTAAGAAGGTGAACGGATTTTAGTAAAAAAAAATTAAGCTTTATTATCGAGATTTTTTGTTCGTTCATCTCGTATTTTAGTAGATTTTAATCTCTTGAAAATATCAAAGTTTTGACTTCAACAGCGAAATGAAAGAAGCTAATTCGTTCTATTGTACTTCCAGAAACAACTGGTGCAGTTAAGGATTTTTTTTCTGGTTAGGGTGGGTCAACTTTACAACCATCTGCTCCCCACTGCTCTTTTAATGCGTAAATAATCCCCAAGAACTGTGCAAAATTTGATCGAAGTTGGTTATAATCTCGATTTGTGGGTGAATTACAAATGTTTTATGGGAAACGAAACTATCCTATACATTTGCTTACCAAAAATCGAAGACAACAAATCAAAAAGACTGGCAACTCTTACATTTTCTCTTACAAACGCTATGAGACAGGTACAATCGCGTCATCTGCCGCTCAAAGGTAAATGAAAGGTTTGTGTATTTGCTCATTTTCTATGCGTTGCTTCCACCTTCACTCAAGCGCAGCGCTATTGTATCCGTCGTTTGGATTATGGTAAAGTTGCCAGTCTTCTTGATATGATGTCTTCGTAAAAATCCAAATATTGCTCAAAATTTACCAAATTTTAGTCCGAGATTAATTAAGAATACTATACAAAAAAACTTTTTCAACGGCTGATTTGATCTTTGTGCTAAAAGTTACTAATCTTTCACTTTAGACCACATACGTACCCACAAGCTCATTTATTCGCCTATAGGTATGCGCGGTGCAATAGTTCTAAATAAAGATAATTATAATATAATGAGAGAGAGAGAGAGAAGGATTAGTAATTTCCATTTAATTCCACTACGTTATTTGATTATCCTTGACAGATACGCGTATTTCGTTTGTAATGTGCAGACTTCTTCAGTGTCTTGTACTGATACTAATTTCTGAATGAATTTTCTAAAAAATGCACAAGTGAACGCAAAATGTCATCAATTATTCAAAATTTCTCAGAGGTACATATTCAGTTATATTTTATATGTTGAGCTACATTTGGATATGAATCGAACAATATGTCATTTTGCAGCTCATATTATTCTCTTATGTACATTAATGTGGGTCAAGTTTTAAAAGTTCTTTCGATCTGTATTGAGATCCCCAACAACTGTACCAAATTTGAACGAATTTGCTTATTATCTGCATTTGTGGGAGATACAAACTTTAACGCATACCTATAAGCTCATACGCAGGCCTGCAGGTTTGCGTGGTGCAGAACGCCAAAACTAAATGGTTGATAACTTTTTGCGCAGGTGTCCAATAAATTTTTGGTCTAGAATAACATTGTTCTGCATAGTTTTCCCCGAAAAAATATCGTGTTTGATCAAAATGAAGAAATTTTTGAATTTTGAAAAGCAACTGAATAATTTTGCTGCACTGGTTTAGATAAAATATAATGTATGATTCAAATCCAAATATCTTGAATATATCTCAATATACCTCTGAGATCTTTGCGGTCAAAACTTGAATTATTTGTATTTACTTAATTTTAGTCCTAGTTATTCCAAGAAACTTCACTGAAGACGTCATTCTAATTGGAAGCAATCCCAGTGCGTTATTTTTTTTTTTTCCTGCTAGATTTAATTCCTGGCCTACTGTGCACGACGAATATCAATATTTGTTCATGCCTCTCAAAACAAAAGATGCCAACATATAAAACAGACAACTAGAACCAGTAGTTAGTACATGGTAAAATAAATTGTTTATATGTAGGGTAAGATGGGGTAAGATGCACCTCCGAGATGACTGTTTGCTATTTTTAAATACATTTTCAACATATTTTCGTGGATTTATCATGCAACGTTTCTAGTTCAGACATTGAACTAGCAATGTTCCTTAAAAGATCATCTAAAAGAGGTAAAAATGGTATTTTAAACGCCAACAATTTATTTACTCTGTGGCTTTTTTTTTTTACACTACATCCGATATAGTTGGTCATTACATTGGCATTATTTTAAATTAAGCCCTGCATTCCCCTAATTAAATAACACTTTATCAATTTTATTCAAGTCCATGACAATCTATCAACATTCATTGTCCGGTTTAACAATTCACTCCAGATTCCGCACAATGCACAATCCTTTGATGCATATCTCAGCATAAGATTAGATCACTCATCAACGTCAACGTCGTTGGTCATACAAGCGCGATCATACAATTGGTCATACAAGCCCGCCACCAAAAGCGCGCATTCTTGGCCAAGGTTCACCGGTTTCCTCGTAACAGAATGTTCACAACCAATACCATAAAGACCATCTTAAACAAACCCGAAACCGGCCGTCTTGATTTAACCGCACTTTAATTGAATTCCCACATAAATTTTCGTTTAGGAAAATACGACAGTCACAACAATAGCTTTACGATGACACTTAACATTTGTGGTGCACTTTTTGATGGCACGCAATTTTCATTCGACCCCTAACCTTTACACTGGGTTCTGAAGCTCAAGTTCATCGTCACCTTTTGAAGGGCATGCCTTTCACTTTTACCTCGCACTTGGAAACCATTGTTGCCATATCAAACACGAACTTACCCCCGTGGACCAGCCGTGTAGACAGTTTCTTCGACGCGACCCGTATCCGGCTGACGGCTTCCGTATCTTCCTCTGACTATGGTCTTCGGGTTGCCACTGGCTGTATGATAGTGACCACCAACATCGGAGTTTTTCAAACTGCAACAACACAATACAAACCATCAGATTCATACACACAAATCCTTGGAGACGAAAGTGTCACGATTACCCAAAACTAAATGATCCATCCGAGTTGACGTGATTGAAATCCGACTGGTCTGATTGAACTAGAACAAAGCTCACACACACTGCACCTATGGCTAGTAACAATCTCATTGTCCTAAAAGGTCCTTTTTTCAGACACAAATCATTCACTGAAATCACCCAGAACAGTCCTTTCAAATGATTCTTCTTGCAAGTAACCCGCCCACACGATTTAGAAATCCACGATCTAACGAAATCTCGCACACGCGCGCTCGTACTAATCCACCGGTCAAATTTCAACTCAAAACTGATTCGAACCGACACCCACTGACTTCTTTATATACATTTTCCCATTGATGCTAATTTTCCCGCTCATATTTTCGCAGCACCCTCATTGTAAGCCACCCTCAAGCTGCGCACCACTATCCGCAACCCACAGCAACTCAGCAGCCCCAGATGCGTTCGACCTGGGTCTATTATATTTTTTGAAGATTTTAGATTAAAACAAAACGCTACTCGTTCTCGAGAGCGGCACGTTGTTGCCTGTCATGGGTCTGACCTGTCTCCCAAGGCGGGCGGGCGGTCGGAGAGTGGCAAGCAGAAGTGCTCACGAGATTCCGTGCTACTGAACCATCTTGCGGGCAGAGAGAACTCATCTTATGACGCGTTTTCTGTGTCAGAAGTGCCAAACCGCGTGCACCCTCCGGTTGGAGGAAAAACAGTCAGCGTGCTTGCACACACATCGATCGGACCTAAGCTGTAGAACAATGGGAGGAGGTGAAAAATCCTCCGATATCAATCTCGAATGGTAGGAGGAAAAAAAACATTTAATGTGCCAGAATGATTTGCTGAAACTTAAATCATTTGGTTTTCCAAGCTCATGGAATGAATAAAAAACATGTTGCAGGAAAAATACCAAACGAAAGGATCGCAGACAAAATAAAATTAAATTAATGATTCAAAAGAAAGGCTATGGTGTCTTTTAAAATGTGTCGAGGAAAATATTGATGCCTTATTGTGTTGTACCTAATACTAGCAGAATTTCGATTTAAAAATCAGAGTCCTGCTACAACACGCAATAGTACCGTAAAACGGGGGAAGTTGATCACTTTTTATCGATAAACCTGAATATTTTTCCATCTATATGTTTGGAATACTAAAAAATGTATCTGAAACTGTACTAGCAAATGCTTTTCTATGTTCAATATTAAATTATAAATTGAATGTTTGGTTTATTTTTTAGAATTAAAATTAGATTAAATTTGCAATTTTTAAATTCTGGTGTGAAGCTGATCATGCAGGTTTTAATGGAATGCAATATTAAAAAGTTAACATTTATACTTGATTTGTGATCGGTGAAGAAGAATGTGGTATTAAAATGTCAAACAAAGTTGTGGTTTACAAACAACTGCATATGTTATTGCGAATAGTTAAAAATACGCCTAAATGTAGGCAATAATCATCAGAAATTCACAAGCATCATTTTTATGACACGAAATCGATCATATTAACAAAATCTGATTTCAGATTCGAATTCAGCGACCCAAAGTTAATTAAAATCAGTAATTCCGCTCAACACAGCACCAGAAAAATGTTGATTTTTATAGTATTTTTGAGATAACTTAAAAGATGCATATTTTAACACTTTCACAAAATTGCACATATAGAGTAATATGCATCGTTTGTTAGGGAAAACATTTCAACTACTATTTTAAACTACCTAATAAAATACTAATGAAATGAAATTTTACCGTCTTTTTCAGATGTCGGAACCTCGGAACTCAGATTAGTGCAAATTGATTTGAACGTTAACCGATCCTAATTAAGCAAACAGATGCTAATTCAGAATTAGAACAACTAAAATGAACCCACTTAGGCTGGAAGCTATAGTCAGAACAATAGGGGAAGACTTGATCTCCCTTTTTAAATTCAAAACTTTTGACTGCTACATCAAAGAGTCGTTAATAAGACACAGTTCAATGACCATAGGAGTTGAAGAAAATTATGTTTAGTGTAGTTTAAACCGTTTTTTTTCTGAAATGAGGAAAAGCGGACCAAGTGGCTTCACCATAGGAAGACTTGATCCTTTATTTAATAATATTCAAATAAATACGATTTTTCTTTAACAGCTATAGAGTATTTAAGAGTATTTTTGCTTAAAAATATAAAGAAATTGGATCAATCCACCTAAGGTGAGATATGACCCTTCTTGCCAGCCAAAACCCATCATTCGACAGAATTCCCATAACAATGAAAAATAAAGTCGATTGCTAGTCATGATGAGTTTCAAGGACTGCAATGGCCTAACCTGAGAGTATTCCGAAAGTTCCTGGGATGTTGTTCCTGGGTTAAAGTCTCCCTAGCTCAACCGTATCAACCCAAGTAACAATTCAGTAACCATTTAGCATCCACTTTGATTTATGATGGTTTTATAACGGAAATGAACAATCCTTTTAGTTTAAATATATCATTTCAAAGTGTAATACATTACTGCTTATTAATTCAGCTTTTTGCTGTTTTAAAAACCGTTTATAGTCTGACAAGATTGTCAAAAACTGTCTTGTTTTAAAAATAAATTTAAAACAGTTATCAATCCCTCCTTAAAACTGTTCTGAAATTCAAGCATAAACGTCATTAGCAATTGTTTATTAATGTCTTGATGAAATACTTTATAAACGTGTTCTATCATTATAAAAGCAACCATAAAACCATTAGGTTTTGCATTAGAGCAAAAAGCATTTATTGTTGCTGTTCAGGCTTTTTCAAGTGCATTATTAACTCCTCAATTTCTCTGTTTACAAATTGAGCTTAAAAGATGGTTCCTAATAATTAATAAATGCCAAATTTATGACAAGGAAATCTCGAAGGATAGACGAAGTAGGATGAAAAATTCAAGTCGATTTCAGCAAAATTTACTTCTCTAGAAGAACCAGCACACCATCAACGATTGACCATCTGGCGGAGAAGAGCAAACTGAGCGGGGCCCTCAAATTCATAAAACATTGTCAAAAGTTTAAAAAACATACCAGCCTTCTCCAGATCTTGCGAAAAGATGACAACCGACAGCAAACCACTGAAACTGTTAGTTAGCGGAGATTAGCTGGTTTCCGATCCATAGCAGCGATTTTATTCGGCGAAAGAATCAACTCTTCGAAAATTTCAGGGGAAGAAGGGGATCTTTTCCGGGAACGATTGCACTTTCAGCTGTTCGAAATGCGAAATATTGTAAAACAGTATCGCAAACTGTCTGAGTAACTGCTCTCAATCCATAGGGAGAAAACCGCCTGGAAGAATCCTGGATCTCACAGCGCAACTATCGAAAGATAAACAAACTTTGACGTTTAACTTTTTGCAGGCAACTTTGCCTCCATAAATGCTGCCCCTCCCCATGGACATGGAGGTTGACGGTACTGAAGCAAAGGGTTATGTTTAATTTCTTTACATTTGCAACGATGATGATTTCCTATAGTGACACATATCACCTTCTTAATGCTTCAGTATGCCTCAAACGATTAATTCTTGGTTGTTAATAGAACTTCCTTGATGAAATCGGCTGCTTCATGCAGACTGAGCAATTCTGATTATAGTATCAGATTTGTTCTGTATACAGAGGAACTGGGAGGGCTTATTAGAAACTTCTCACCAATAAAGTAATGATCTTCTAGTTAATTTTGCATATAATTTTATTAATATTTTATTTTATTTAAGCATATTATTTTTGTTACAGTCTATTTGCATTAGCATATGATACAAGAGATTTAATATTACTTGCTCGTTTTTGCGTAAAATAATCAATATTTATTTTACTTGTAATTACCTTTGAATGTTTTTTTCAAGTTTTTTTTTGTGATCTGAAAATTTACCCAGTTTGGTTAGAAGTTTCGAAGCTAACGCATGTCCACAGGCCTAATAGAAAGATAGGCAGAAAACGTGTATAATGAAGAATGGTTGCATGCAGGGTTGCTTCCACTCACTTGCTATAGATGAGTGATTTTCGGAGTTTTGAATTCGTTAGATGTTGTAATGGACATTTGTGCTGTTGGATGCGGGAGAAGATTGGAGGGCGGGTGTTTGACGCTTGGAGCCTGTCAATTTCGCTTTCAGAGTGTCGCAGTCAGCGGTTTTATGATTCGTGAGCGCTCGCGATTCGTAGAATCGTTGATTGTGACTGCAAGTGGATTTTACGGGTTTTGTGTGTCGGACGCTTGCTTTTTGGCCTCTTCTTGTGTTTAACATGTGCAGAGTTTCATTATAACGTCTAATGGTTTTGAGATTCCTGGTGGCGTGAAATATATTTGTGAGAATATCTTTTTGAGATTTTAGCAGTCACGTTTTGTTTGTAGTTTATATTTTATTTTATTCATTTAATTATCGTAAATATTAGTTATTCAATAATAGATAGTTCATCCATATATTCGTACTTTGACGCGAAGCGCTGTGGATTATAAGATGCTCGATGACCCTCGAGGGATCGATTTTGCTTACTGAGCAGAAAATCATGGATTTAACCCCAAGCTCTTCCACAGCACAATAAATCGTCCATTATTTGTATATTTGATATTGAACATTAACCTCGGAAACTATTTGCATATCAAGCGAAAACGTAGTTCTGTATTGTCGCGAAGCGTTATGGTTCTGAGATGCTCGATGACTCTGGAGGGATCGTTTTTGCTTACTGAGCAGAAAACCATGGGTTTAATCCCAAGCTCTCCGTCATGACTCTTAAAATTCATTATCACTAAACAAAATTAATATGTTCTTTCGATAGCCGGCTATCGAGCGATTAAATAAACAACAAATAAACAATACATACTTTTGGTTGCATCGCCAACTTGAGGTGAATCCTAACCGAATACCCTACCCAACCCTCCAACTCCGTAGCACTTATGAGGGTGTCGCTAAGTCGGTGGCCTCTCGTTAAGTAAGTACTACATCAACATTTCCTTCCCTATCCCTAGTTATGGTAAAGATGGGCGTGGCCGGGAATAGCGACAGTCATGCTTCTGTTACTCTTGTTTAGATTGGAACCAATGTTTACTCCCTAACATTATTCCTGAAAGAAGTCTAACTGAGAATTTCAGAAGAGACGTGAGTGTCGCTAGTATCCAATCTACGAAGTATATCATAACAACGCTAACGCTAACGCA